CCCCCACCCCTTCCTGTGGTTCGTTGGCTTGGGTCTGGCTGGGAGTCCCGAGGCTTCGAATGAACTCAGTGACTTGCGATCGAGAGGATGAATGCAGGGGCTTTCCTCGGGCCGCGTGATGCTCTTTGTTCACAACCTCCGATTGCGGCTCTGGCCAGATGGGCGGGGTGCTGTTATGTGCTCGTGAGAATGGGACCAGTGCCAGAGACTTTTCTAAGGTTGAGGCTGCGGATCCTCCCAGTGGCAGCATTCTGTCCCCAGCTATCTATTGATTATCTGCACGGGAGGCCATCCTCCCTGCCTCCTTGTCCCTGGGCCTGTTCGTTCCAAGCCACCAGTATGGTTCTTGGCCTCAGCAGACCAAGGTGCAGGGGGTCTCATGCCTTGGGCACACATTTGCCTCCGTCTAGAACTCTTGGGAGGCATCCTTTTTCTTGGTAGGGTGCTGGACACTGGTCATTTTGGCTCCAGGTTGCAGACAGGGACGGACAGATGTCTGTCCGTCCCTCTCACCAGGCCTCAGACTCCTTCCTGACTTGCCACTCCCCAATGCTGTTTTCCGCACAGGGCCCAGCCTCTCCTGCTGGTCTGTGGGGACCCCAGACCTGGAGCAGGCTGCTTATTCCCCCTGCTGAGCGGAGCCCCATCTCGAGCTCCCAGGGCCCAGGAGGGGCGGGGCAGGCTAGAGCAGCCAGGCTGGAGCTGCCCTGGCCTCCTCCTCGCAGCTTCCGAGCCCCACTTGGTGCGGCTGGAGACGTGGGGAGAATGCCACGACTTCCCACTGATGACGTCGTTAACCAGACAGGCTGACAGTCACCGGAAGGCAAATGTCTGTGTCATCCTTTGTACCGACATCTTCCTCGGAAACGCTTTTAGGGTTGAGAACCGGCTTCCCAGACGACAGACATCTGGGGTTTCCGGGGACGTTGCCTCTCCTGGGAGTGGGGGGAGGCTTAGGGTGCCTGGTGGCCTTCTGGGCCAGGCGGCCTCTCTTGGGAGCCCAGCAGAAGGCTTCCCTGTTCCCGAGGGAGCCCGGGAACTGTGGGCCCGCCCCCTGGCGCCTGAGAACTGCAAAGGCCTCTGGGAGTTCTCCCCTGCCAAGCTCAGGAGGCAGCCCCGAGGGAGCAGGGAGGGCGTGATGGGGTTTTCGAAGGTCTTGGGCCTCCAGCCCCCACTTTACTGGCAGCGTGTCTCCCAGACACCCATCTTTTGGGTCTCCCCCAGAATAGCAAGCTCATTAGCCTAGGGGCACTGTGATGGGAAGCCTTGACCCCCCCTCTTTTTTTTTTTAAACTTACTCTGCAGAATAAACCCAATGGTTGATTTTTGAATGAATAAAAAGGCTTTTGTTGAATAAACAGCTGGTCCCATCTTCTGTCTTGGCATATCTTGGATCCAGGTGGAGGCTGCCTCTAGTGGCCCACAGCAGGATAAGCCCAAGTTCCCCTCCCTGGCCTGTGGCTGTCCCCATGTCTTTGCAGTGGCCCTCGGCTTGAGGGAAGGTACTTCCGTCCTGGTCCGACCCAGGGGCCTGCTCTCTCTGGGGCCCAGGGTAAGCCACTTCCACTCGCTGGGTGCCAGTTTCTCCGTCCATCAGCTGGGAGCCAGAGTGTCCACCTTGCCTGCCTCACCAGGGTGTTGTGAGGACCGAACCAAGCGGTGGGCACAATGACAGCC